ATTATTAATTGAAATTATAATTATAATTATAATTATAATTATAATTATAATTATAGTTATAATTATAATTATAATTATAATTATAATTATAATTATAATTTATAATTATACTTATAATTATAATTATAATTAGAATTATAATTATAAGTATAATTATAATTATAATTATAATTATAATTATAATTATAATTATAATTATAATTATAATTATAATTATAATTATAATTATAACTATAATTATAATTATAATTATAGAAATAAATATTATATTTATAATTACAATAATAATTATATAAGTAATTATAATTAAAAATATAATTACATTTATAATTGTATCTATAGTTATAATTAGTGTAATTGGTGTAATTATTATAATTTTAAATTTAAATTTAATTATTATTATATTTTTATAATTATGATTATAATTATAATTTTATTTAAGTTATATTTGTAATTACAGTTATAATTATAATAATTATATAATTATAATTACAATTATAGAAACATTGAAATCAGATCAGATTTCAAAGATTCATATTAAATCAGATCAGAAGAATTCATATCAGATCAGACCAGATCAGAAAGATTCAGATCAGAAAGATTCACATTAGATCAGATCAGATCAGAAAAATTCAGATCAGATCAGATCTTAAAAAATTCAGATCAGAAACATTCGGATCAAGTGAAGAGAACAGTTTCTCAATCAAGAGTGTTGGCATTTTTAACATAACAGAACATATACCACGGAGTATAAGATATGAGAAAGTGCCGCCACAAAAAATAGAAACATTCATAGTACGTGGTACTCCCTCCGTCCCATAATGTTTGGGACAAAGGAGTGTGGCACAAATTTTAAGAAAAAGTGGAATTGTGTGGTGGGTGTTGAGTTGATAAAGTGTGAATAAAGTAAGAATGAATTGTAACCACCCAAATATTTCCAAAAATAGTATGGGACAAACAAATTGGGACACCCCAAAATGGTAAACTGGGACAAACATAAGGGGACGGAGGGAGTATGAATTAATGTTTTGTTGGTTACCTTGCAGTTTAAGCGAGTACACCAATTTTAAAATACACAAGCGTAATAATTAATTAAAATTACTATCCATAAGGACCATAATTGAGTTTTTTGCTATATAGAAATATAGAATTACTTTTTAATCTTATTTTCCAAATAAGGTAGTTTTAAATTTATTTATCAAATAAACATACTTTTACCTTGCCATCCGCTATATCACCAAAATTGTCATGTCCACCTATGCTTTGTGGGAACAATGGCGACTCTCACATATTTGACATCATTCATTGACTCTTCCATTAGTTTCATATCATCTAATTTAGGTGTGCTAAAAAATTAGATGTAATTACCATTGCAAAAATTAAAGAAATTAATCTCAGCCTAGGAGAACTGTCGTTGGGTACTTGGGTTACGTTAGGTGCTCCAATTAATTCGTATTGCTCCTCATTTTTGTGGTGGCTTTTTCTCAACTATATTAATTTTGGCACTGAGTCTAGGATCCTGGAAATTAAATTAGAGTCCCTAAGAAATAAAATTCACACACTATATTTTAACTTAGGGGTGGGCATAACGGTTTAGTTTAATTGAACCGTACCAAATCAAACTAAATCGAATCGAAACTGGATCGTATGCAATTTGGTTTGATTTTGGTACTATTTCTCCCAAACCATACTAAACCGAATCGAAGTATCGAACCGATATAAATCAAACAAAATCGAACCGAACTAAAGAAATTCAAATAAACATTCATATATTATTAAAAATAAACAAATTAAATCCAAACTGAACCAAACCGAACTAAATCGAACCAAACCAAACTGAAAAATAGTACTCCCTCCGTATTTTAAAGTTTCATACACTTTTCATTTTTGAATGTATTAAAAAGTTCCATATACTTTTTCTTTAAAAATACTCAATTACTCTTACTTTTTCAACTTTTATCCTATTTTTCCTACTTTTTCATCTTCTCTCCTATTTTTTCTATAATATTCATTACTCCTACTATTTTCCCTTAAATCTTGTGTTCGAAGCTAATGTATGGAACATTAAAATACGGAGGGTCGGAGGGAGTATGGTTTTTGTTTGGTAATAAATAATCAGGGGAGCTAGCCGGTGCCGACGCCACCCCTTCGCCGGAGATGTTAAGGTATATATATGTAATATGTCCACAGCGCCCCAGTCTTCTTCTTCCCTGCTCCCTGCGTTTTCCGTCGACCTTGGTGCTGTGGGCGGTTGTGCGATTGGGGATTTCAGGATTTCTAAATGTACACGCTCCATATGTTTTTCACTTAATTTAAACGACGTCGTTTGGCCAAGTATTAAAAAGGGATGAAAACGACGTCGTTTGGCCAAGTATTAAAAAGGGATGAAAACGACGTCGCTGGGCTTATGGCATAAAGCTTATTTTGAATTGTCTACTCTACTGCGTCTCTAGGTGTCAACTCTACAACCTATGAGTACAATTTATTACAGAGTATATATTGTTCGAGGCCTGATCCTATCGAGCCGGAGCGACAAGACCCGCCGTCCGACCGTCGCCATTTGGGGCCCTTCCCGGTGGAATTGTTTGCTGAATTTTTTTGATCATGTTCTTCATGAAGTCTAGTTTAACCATACCAAATTTCAGCTAAAAATTCAATCGGGAAGACAGTCAAATGATTTTTGAAAGTTAACTGCGCAGTTTGTATACATATAAAACACAGTTACGGAGTATCTTTCAAAAATCATTTGAGTGCCTTCCCGGTTGAATTTTTAGCTGAAATTTGGTATGGATAAACTAGACTTGATGAGGAACATGCTCAAAAATTTCATCAAAAAATTCCACCGGGAAGGGCCTCTGATGGCCTTGGCCGGACGGTCCCTCCCGTCCCTCCGGAGGGACCTGATCTTTTCTCTACATTGTTCTACCAGACTTTTAGCTACTCCCTCCGTCCCATATTTGTTGTCCTACTTTCTTTTTTGGGTTGTCTCAAAATGAATGTCTTGTTTTCTCTTTGGCAAAAAATATGTGTTCTTTATCATTTTACTTTATTCAACTCAAATCTCAACTACAACTTTTACTTTTCAACCACTTTATTAATAACCGTTCAATACGGGACAGAGTCACAGAGATAGTATTTCAAACTTTCGATTATTTGGATTTCGGTTTCTTTCGAAGTTGCATTTAATATATTATTAAATTATTTAGTTGTTTAGCAATCACGTAGTAGCATTTTACCTTGTGATTAATTCGGTGTTTTAGGCTAAAACTTTTATCATTTTAATCATTTGAATGTGAAAATATATATTTGATCGAACATTAATTTTTTTAAATGATTTGAATATTATATAGGATTATTAGTTAAATATATCTCCAACTATCATCAAATTCATATATTTATCTCATACTTTCACTTTTATTAAAAAAAAAGACTCAAACTCCAACTTTTCTCACAATTACATCTTCAATGGATGAATTATTAAAAATTAAGAAGAAAATCACATTCATATTTCATATCTTTTACTTGTTTCTAGTTTCAAATTTACAAATTTGTATTGCTTATATCTAATTGGGATTGATAAAAGTGTATAATATTGAAAAAACAAAAAAGAAAAGCGTAATAGTTGAAAAAGATGATGTTTGAGTCCTTTTTTTTATAAAAATAAAAGAATGGGATAGATTTGTGAATTTAATGATAGTTTGAGATAAAATAAGCTAATAATCCTATTAAATATTCAGAAGTGCTTAAGTGTTCTTATTCATCAAAATAGTGAAATATTAGAATATTTTAAAACCTAAAACTATCAAAAACCACTATTCGAAACTCATACTCCCTCCGTCCCGCAATTAACTTCTCACTTTCATTTTTGGGTAGTTCCTAAATTAACACTTCAATACTTTCCTTAGTTGACAAATTATCTACATCAAAACAGCACCAAACAGTGCAAAACAGTGTCAAATAGTGTCCAAACAATGTCAACCAGTGTTTGAATAGTGCAAACTAGTGCACTCCACAATAAAGTCAAATTTATTTCCTTAATCTGTGTGAAGTCAAACTGAGAAGTTGATTGCGAGACGGAGGGAGTATATAACAAAATACTCGGTACGTACTAATTCTTAATATTACTTTATTATTGTAATGAAGAACAGATATTTTTAATTTTTTATACAATAATATATGTTTATTACTATAGAAATTTATATAAAAGCCTGACATTGTTGATTTTTGTTGATTTTCTCAGCCTCGGCTCAAATATAGTTCTGGTTCCACTCAAAAATTGCTCCAAAATGACCATTTAATGCAATTTTAACACATTTTTTCCAACAAATAATACACTACCATAGGGTATTGCATAGTATTATTTTGAAAAAAAATTGGTTAATACATTTTTGAAAATTAATTGATCTATTTTTTGGCAAAAAATAGAACTAACTTTCAGTAAAGATGACTAATTTCAAACCAATTTTAAAAAAGCATTAACTTTTAATTATATTTGGACAAAAATGTGACCAACAAGATTATATGCAGGGGTGGATCGATAAGGTATACCGAAAATTTCACCCAATACTGTATACCGTACCGAAAATGAGGCAAGTTAAATTTTTATACCGATACCGTACCGGGACTTTCGGTATACCGTGTTTCGATATACCGAAACGTCGGTTTGGCAAAAGACTCATACCTTACCATACCAAAGAATCACTATACCGAAAAATTTCGGTATTGCCATACCATACCGAATGAGATTACTTTTACAAATTACAAATAATGATTAAAGGACTCATTTACAAAAAGAAAATGTCACAGGGGAATAAATGAACTGCTTAACTTGAAAGCATCTACAACAACAATTGTTGTTACCAATGCATCCCAATCCCCTGTTTGGCCTAGGATTTTCGCCAATGCATTTGCTGTGTAGAAACCCAGGAGAAGCAGAAATATCTTCATTTTGAATGAGATACTTCATAATGAATTTTTTAACACAACAGTAAACCGTAAGGTCACATTCATTTAAAAATATCATAATAATAAGTGCCCATCACACAAAAACAAGTTTTCATACACCATGCATAAACCATTTTTCAGAATAACAAAAGAAAAAAGTTAATGTTTATATAACATAAACACTCATATTCATGCACCATCATCCACTCCTTAGCCTACAAATTTTTGCAGTTCATCTCCTCATTTGTGTAACTTGCCCACCACTTCCCCCTGAGAGAAAAAAGAAAAGTAGAATCTTGAGAAGAAAGAATTGGAGAACAACATAATAATGATAGTAGCAAGTAAACATCCAACACTTGTTTACTTCTCCCTTGCTCCAAGAGGAATCTCCGATCCATTGATTAAACACCCAACAGTCTAAAACAGTCTAAAACATTATTGCAATTATTGGTTAATGTTGTGAAACTATTAACTAGTATTATAAATCCTAATTTGTTAAAAAATATCACCTTAAATGTCAGCAGATTTTTTATTCAATCATAATTATGAATTTTTCACAATAATAATCAAATTTCTCATTATCCTAGTGTATGTCAAGTAGAATAGCCAATGCCCAGGATAGTCCATGTCCATCACAAAATGCATAAAGCCACCCCAAGACCCATTAAACCAATAACTTAGACATAAAACTTAAATGATAGGCATAGCGGAAAAGGATAGACATAAAACTCAAATCTGTATCTTTTTTTATAGAGGAAACCAACCAACTCAATTTCCTAAACATTCCATACTCATCATCATTCTCACTAGTCTATTTTTAATCATCATTCTCATCAGTCGACTGCAATTCTTAATATATACCTAAAACATTCTAAAACAGTCTAAAACATTATTGCAATTAGAAAACGGTCTAAAACAGTCCTAATCTATTACATTATTGCTATTAAGAAACACTTTAAAACAGTCTAATATATAGTTATATACTTATATAATGCTATAAAAAAACAAAACATTTATTTTAAAGTTAAGAGCTCACCATTTCTAGATGACACATAAAGATTGAGAGGAGCCCTGAGTACCTTCTGCAATAGAAAAACAGTAAAATCATAGTCATGTGGCATTATATTAGCATCAGCTTAATAAGAAAAGCTCTTACTCTTCAATTTCTTCAATTTCTTTATATAAATCAAGTTCATCATTAGTTGGATCCTTATAAAAAGAGAACTCCTCCGCTCTAAGCCAATCATTCGTGCATACTAATGCGTCAACCATTTTTGGACTCAAACTACTTCTAAAAGTATCAATGACCCTTTTACCCAAACTAAAGGCAGATTCCCTAGCCACTGTTGAGCTTGGAATCACAAAAATATCCTTTGCAATAAGAGCAAGCATAGGTACCTAGTTTCACTCCCTTTCCACCACTCCAAAAGATTAAAAGACAGGTTAGATCTTATTTCAATGTCATCCGCTAGGTATTTATCCACCTCATTGGAAATCTCTTGTAACTGATCTTCTTCTTTTTTGAAAAAATAATTTTAATTAAATATTTGTAATAAAATAAATAATTAATCAATTTTTTAAAATTAGCATGAGACAGTTTGATTCGTACGGGGCCACGGGCCACGTAAGAAAGAGTACGGGTCAAGTTCAGGAAAGAACATAGTGTTCTAGGCTCGAACCCGTTAATTGATTACATATATAACATCATAACTATCATCACTAAACTCATTAGAATATTATATTACTATCAAAATTATTTCTCAAAATATATTCAAATTACTTTATGTGATTATTGTCTAAATAATCGTATCGTTTTTCCATGGAAACATTTCAATAGTGTACACAAAGGTATACATCAAGCATTTTTTGTTATTTCTTTATCTGATCCTCTTTATAAACATGAACATGCTGCATAAGTGCATACTCCGTAGGTTTTACTTTGATCAATTAATTAATAACGTGAACCGATTAGAGATGGGCGGAATAAGAGTTTTGCTTGATGAGTTGATGTTAATTATATTACTCCATATTAAATAGTCATTGTAAATGAGAGGAATAATTAAGATTTAAGACACCAAAAACTTCAGCCCCACGTGTCTAGTCTGATATGCATATTGCCCATGTTAGGGCTGATAGCATGGTGGGAGTAACTTAAAGCTCTATAAATGAGTGGTTCAGAAATCTAATTAATGGGACTATTTTATTAAAAAAGAGGACAATTAATGACAAAGAAAAGAGATGTATCTACAGACTACAGAGTATACAGTACAGATCGAGTGGTTATAGAAGATGCCTCGGCCCCCCTTATTCAGTTCATCGTTATCACTTGGTATAGCATATTTATATTATTGATATTTGTTTACCCATACATCGTCCATTCCATATTTCGGCACAGGTTATGGATAATGGGGTGAGAAAGCATGTCCCGAATGATCCTGCTGCTTCAAACTCTGATCCCGTGCTGAACTACATTTCCCAGATTCTACTAGAGGAGGAGGAGGAAAAGGAGAGCATTGATGGGTTCTTTGATGCCACTGCTCTTAGAGCTGCTGAGTATTCCTTTTATGAAGCATTGCATGGGAATATCACTTCCTTACCCTTTTACAGCAATGCAGGAAGAGGCTCCGGGCATGGTGTTGATGCCATTGTTAATCCTGGAGAATTGGAATCATCATGTGTCACAAATGAGTCTCTCCCTGATCTCGCCATCCAGTTATCATCAGCATCACCTAATTCTGGGTTAAGAGGGTTTTCTTCATATAGCTTTGATAGTGCAATCATGTCTTCCCTTAGAGCTACTTCAAGGATTCGAAATGTGTTTGGCGGCAATGATGATACCGAGTCCATATTGGAATTACAGAGAGTGATGGAGGAAGCTGCAGCTGGTAGAGGCAAGAAGCATCACTACTGTCCACAAGAAAATGAGTTAGAAGAGAGGAGCAGCAAGCAGTCTGCAGTATACGAGGAGGTTAATTTGTCGCGAGTGTTTGATAAGGTTTTGTTATGCTGTGATGAAGAAGAAGATGGTCCATCTCGAGTCGGACAGAAAGGAGGAAGACGTCACTATTCAAGGAAACGGGGAGATAATTGTGAGATTGTTGTGGATGTGGTGTCTCTTTTAACCAGTTGTGCACAACCTATTAATGATGGTGATTACAGGGGTGCACAAGCTGAATTAAAGAAGATCAGGCAGAACTCCTCACCCACGGGCAATGCAGATCAAAGGCTCGCTCATATATACGCAGACGCTCTAGAGGCACGATTAACAGGTACTCACACACGAGTATACCAACCTATATCTCCTAAGAGCTTGATAGTTTCTGAGTTGGCCAAATCTGACATGACAGAGTGGCCAATCATGAGAATGTCAGTTTTCTTTTCAAATACAATGATTTACGAGGCAGCTTCAAGATGTTCATCGTTGCACATAATAGATTTTGGCATTCTTCATGGAATCCAGTGGCCCACTCTTATTCGAGATCTTTCAAAAAGACGTGGTGGCCCTCCAAGACTTCGAATAACCGGGATTGAGCTTCCTCAACCTGGTTTCCGTCCATCACAAATGCTAGCGGAGACAGGTCTTCGCTTGGAAAATTTTTGCAAATGCTTCGGTGTACCATTCAAGTTCAATGCATTAACAGCACAACATTGGGAGGCAATTAAGATTGATGACTTGAAACTTGTGAGTGGTGGTGAAATGATTGCTGTTAACTGTAACATACGATTTGAACACCTATTGGACGAGACTGTAGTTGCTGGGTACAACCCTAAGGATGAAGTTTTAAACTTAATCCGGGAAGTAAATCCTGATATATATGTACAAACTGTGGAAAGTGGAGGGTATAACTCTCCTTTCTTTCTTCCTCGCTTTCAAGAGTCTCTCCTCTTCTTCTCTGGTATTTTTGATGCGTGTGAGGCTTTTTTACCACACAATCATCCTCAAAGATTGAGTCTTGAGCAAGAGTTTCTCGGACGCGATATAATGAATGTCATTGCATGTGAGGGCATTGAAAGAATAAAGAGGCCCGAGACGTACAAGCAGTGGCAATCTCGCATTTTGAGGGCCGGATTCAAACCTTTTCCCTTAAAGCCTCGCCTCTTCAAGAAGTTGATAGCCAAGGCCCGAGCATCATATCATCATAATGACTTTATCTTTATTGAAGATGGCATATGGATACTGCAAGGCTGGAAAGGTCGGGTTTTCATCGGCAGCTCTTGTTGGGTGGCTGCATGAGAGACTCACAATCCCTCGTAGTTTGGTAGTCTGAGAAACGAGAAACTTCACCGCTTAGCGTTTTAATGTCTAATAGGACTTTTCAATGCAAATTAGTGTTTGTTCAAGCAAGTTTGTATGAAATTTACTCAAACAACATAATGCAATATGTTGCGTAATATTTCTTACATTTTCCATTTAATTATGAACCAAAATAATGTACGAAGTACTAATTTATGTGTATCATCAAGTTGGACTATTTATATCTTTAATTATTTTGAAAAAATGTTTGTGATAAAAGTAAAGTCATAATTTAAATGGAAAAATAACTTATTGACAGTAGAACGTACGATACTATTACAAAGAAAAGAAACTACTCTGTATATGTTTTGTTGGGCTCTCGATGTCTGTATATATATTCCAATATGAGTATATACGAGAGGAACGAGGATGTGTATATGCTTCGATAATGCATGGCACATGAGATTGACAAATGCATCTACATAGAAATTAGGGAAAGTTCCCGAAATAGGACTAAAAAAGTTTGAAAATTTGACATGTTTTATTTCCAAAATAGGACTAATTACCGCCAAGTTTGGAAAATATTGCTATGTTTGAAGTCTGGTACTGCTAAAACATGGCAGTAATAAGTCCTATTTTGAGAATAAAAACATGGAAGTCCTATTTTGAAATTTGCAAACTTGTTTAATTAGTCCTATTTCGGGTAATATCTCTAGAAATTATATAGGTATGCAACAACCCTAAATAATGTGTTCATATAGAGACACATAGTATGTAATATCTCAATACTCTCCCTCAAACTTATCGGTGCCAAGTGCTTTAGTAAATATGTCGGTCACTTGGTTATGTGTGGAGATGCACTGTGGCTGATTTTCAATTCATTGCCAGTGACTCCCTCGGAAACAAAATAACAATCCATTTCTACATGTTTGATTCGCTAATGAAAAATCGGTTAAGTGGAATTTGTAGTACGGCTTGGTTATCACAATAGAGGGGCATTGGACTTGTTTGAGGAACCATGAGACCGCGAAGTTAGCATCATTACCATTGACGTTCACTAACTGTTACAGTTATAGAACGACATTCTGTTTCCGCAGAAGAGTGGGAGATTCCATCCCCACAAGTTTTTAGTGTTGATCAATTTTGACAACTACGTTACGGGACCGTAGATGATATTCTTGAATGCTTTCACAATGTTGTTAGTGCTTCGTGGAAGTCACACCGCTTAACGCATATATGTAATCAAGTTCCACACATATATGTAAGCTCATTAAGTGTGTTATAAACTTAACACATGGCATATGAGGGTTATGACATCACTAAGAGCCTTAGCCTTTCTCACACCATATTAATCTTATCTATTTATAATAATATCTATAATAATAGGTTTTTTTTTAAATGTTACACAAATATGAGTAATAGTTACTAGTCACATTTTTATAAATGATCTTTATTTTAGTCATATATATTACTTATTTCATAATAATAAATATCTATAATAATTAAAGTAAAAGGTGTGAATATAAATATTTTGTTACTACTCAATTCCACAAACAAAATAAATATCTGGAATTTGTAGTGCGGCTTCAATGGAATTTGTAGTAACAATAGATATTTATAAACAAACTTCAGTTTCAACGGATATTAAAAGGTGTAAATATCTATAATCAATATTATTTTTTGGGATTGGAATAACGATCATATCTATAAACAAAAAAACAAAATAGTACTACCTTAGCTTTCTCATAGTACAAATTATCTATAACAATATTTATAAACAAACTTCTCACCACTCAATTTACAGGTCAAATAATAATATTCAAATATAGATACATATTCCCAAATCATAATAATTCCACAAATACCAATATACATAAAACCACCAAACATCCTCACAAATATTACAAAGTATAAATCTCAAAACTCATATAAGCACTTTATAAAAGTCATTCCAAAAACTTATAACCAATATCCACAAATATATTTTCCAACCCAATTTCATAAGTATTTGTACTTTTGAAATCCACAAATAATATATAATGATATAATCCACCTCAAATTCAATTCATTCAACTGACCACAAACTCAATCCAATCTCAAATCCAATGTAATCCCGTCAATCCAATCAACTAATCCAATTCAAAGCAATCAAACCCAATCAAGTCCAACTTAATTCACCTCAAACTCAATCAAATTCAATCAATTCCATTGGAAGCTGAACTCCTACTTTAAATGTGAGTAGTATTATCTGATATATTTATTGTGCTAATTTTATAAATTAATATAAATACTTGTTTCTTTTAAAATTTATATTCATTAAACACAACATAAAATGGGTGATTATTTTTCAGTAAAAAGTGGTACGGAGTATTAAAAAGCATGTAGCACTTATCTTATACAAAAAAGCAAAACAATTTTTATAGTTCATTGAACAGTATTCCCGCACAATATTCAAAGCATCCCAGCCGTCCGCTGAAAATACATCTCCGCCATAGAGTTAACATAAAATCTAACTCTTTATTATTGAGCCTTGGGAGAAGAATGAAAGAACAATGGATATAATCAGTCAAGTATAGCTTATGTGTTTCTTTCTATCTTAACCGCCCATCCCTATACGTGATGTTGATTTCGATCCAGGTCTCAACACCCTCTCATTTCCGGCCAGAGCATTTCCTTCAATTTCTCTTTTTAGGCCTTCATTATCATCATTCATGATCAACCGCAAATCAGCTTTGACCTCAACGGCTCCACCTACAGACTCAAAACACCACCATGCCTCAAAGCACCACCATGCCTGAATAAAAAAGTTTTGTGGACATGTTTCCAAATTTGGGTACATAGCTAGCCATTTGAGAACTGTGGATGGTAAGGTTTGGAATGTTAGCAGGATCCAATCTTTATTTTCGTAAGAAGAGGATCCGAGCTTTGAGAACTCATGTTAGCTTGAGTATCTCTATTGGTTTATATGATCGAGCTGACATTGTCTGGTGGTGGGTGAAGGAAGAAGGAAGGGTTTTTTTTCAGTCAAAAGTTGCTAAAATTTATTAATGGCAGCAACGGCGCCGACGTCTTGGGTGGGATGGACAAATATGTGATCTCTTAAAATTCCACCAATGTAACGCCCCTCTCAGGGTTAAAGGAAACTTTACACTAATCTACTACTTTTAAAAATAAACTGCAGTATAACGGCCGTCTATTTAAGAAAATAACCCTGATAAAATCTCAAAACTAACTAAAACCACTCCAAATAAAAATATAATAAAATATAGTTATCACCAGCAAATGTGATAACCACCTGGATCCAGGAATTTATTCAAACATCAAATCCTCAAATAAATAAAAATAAAATAATAATAATCTCGTTATTATAACACTGAAACACTGAAACAAAATCATATCTAGCTAGAAGCCACCAAGGTCGTTCCCGTTAACTCATCTTGGCACGCGTTCCACTCCCTCATCATCTTCTTAGGCCTTGGCCTTACCCTTAGTATCTGTACATGCGAAGAAGAAAAACTGATAAGTTTTACGCTTAGTAAGTCACTATGGCTCCACAAAAATATCTAGAAGTCTAGGCCAATTTATCAATAGATAAATTTAGGCTATAAGCATGCACTGAACAAATAACTAACACATAACTTCTCAAACATATTCTGAGAGAGATCTCAAAAGGAAAGTATTTTCTAAGATAATTTCTCAAAAACTACTGGAGAGATCTCAAAATTTCTTTCTCAAACATCTCTGTAAAACTTTCTGAAAGAGATCTCAAAACAACTTTCTGTAAAACTTTCTGAAAGAGATCCCATAAACTTTCTATAAACTCTTTGTGGCTAATTTTAACTGTGGGCCCGTGATATGTACTCAAAGGCGCCAATCCGACAGCTCAGGGGAGCGACCCACTAAACATATTGGACTATCTGAAACTGAAAACTGCTAATCTGAGGGAACTTGTTCCCGAGTACATATCACCTGATCTTTCACTTTAAATATTAGTTCTTTTTATGGTGGTGACGTTTGACTAAAAAAACATCATTAGATCTGAAAATAAAAGTACTGACAAGATCTTGACTATGCCAGATAATAACATAACTTAATACAACAAATAAAATAACTCAACAAATAATTCACCAGATTCACATTATAGCATATAGACTAAAAGCATCTATTAAAAATCAACCAGCTAGACTTCTTTCTTTTATTTGGTTGAACAAACATGTACAGGTGGTAGTGAACTTACCTGTTTACGGCGGATCCCCAATTACTCAAATAAGTGTGGCACCTTGATAACGTCTTCCGGTAAGCTCTTCTTTTAACTCTTTGAGTGAATATATATAATAATAATATAATAAAATCAGAATATGTCGACTTCCAATGGGCCGCATAACATCAGTTTTATGGAGAGATGCTACTAGACAATTGGAAAATTTCTAACTGGAGTTCCATGCTTAGCAACCCATTAATTAATACTCATTAAGCTTAACTATAAGAACATTTAACTAACATTTAGAAATTTAAATTTCCAGCTGGCACCCACAATCTAACGTGATTCGTAAAAGACCACAAAGAGAACAATCTCCTTATCTTAGAAAAGTCATTATGCAGCTCACCAATTTGCGCTTACTAAACAATTAAAATCCACTATATTGAGCAAGAAAACTCTGGCAGTAGAGAGCTGCCAATTAGAAGTTACCTAAAGAGTGATTAATCTGAGGACACAGATTTGCAACCCATTTGAATTCGTAAACGAAGGATGCATATTTGCACTCAATAGCGGAAATTCTGAATTTCAATTCCAGGGGGAATACACATGGGTTTCGGATTTATAAAAAGGAGTTTTGAACGTAAGGTTGCTAATTATTCGTATGAAAAGAACCAACCCATTACAAGAAACTCGTAGAATTTAAAGTTGGTGCCAATTCTTAAAATTTGACCGACTTTTCTTGAAAACAAGTGCTAAACTATTAACACACATAAATTTTAACTAAAGGAAGAAGATTTCAGACTCACCGGACTTTCAATATTGATTTACGGCAAAACCACGGCTACAAGAAATATGTTGACAGGAGGATGAGAAGGATAGAGGAGATGATCGGCTATTGTGGTTGGAAAAAAAACGCACGTATGGACTATGTTGCACGGATACTTCACTTCGATGCCGTATCCGCGTATCCGATACGTATCCGTATCTGATACTCACCAATATGCGTCCTGTACGTATTGGGTCCGTATACGTAATTTAATAAAAGTATCGGGCTTAA